ACCCCCCTCATTTCAAAATATTTTGACATACCCCCCTGGGCTACCCTGGAAGTTCCTATAATACCCTTCTAAAATCAGTTTTAACCCTAGCCACTCACGGTCTCTCTCTTCTTCTCCCAGATTCAAAATCCCGCCTCTACAAACCTCTCACCGGCGAAATTGCTTCCCGGAGCCATAACTCTCTCTCCGGTGGTCGGAATTCGATGGTTTAACTACCGTTGGATTCCTCTAGTCGAGCTCTTTCTTTTGGTGGTGATTTCATTCAGTTTCGAGCGCGGATCTGTTTCTGCAATTTTTTTTCATTCGAGGACGGTGGTCTTGCCGGAGCTTTATTTTGTGTTCCACCCGTCGAAATTTGACGGGTCATCCACCGTTGGACTCCTCTCGTCGGGATCTATGTTTTGATGGTAATTTCGTTAATTTTTATCTTTTCTGATTTATTTCTATATTTTTTTGCATTTCCCAGCAATAACCTCTCTCTCTATCTCTCGATCTCTTAATGTTTGGTGATTTTTGAGTGTTTTGATGTTTTTATTCAAATTTGTTGATTTGCACTAAAGTAATTTCTTTTTGTTTTGATTTTGCAATTGCAGCTTAATGAAGGCCATTGATCCTTTCCTTGAAGGTGTCAATTTTTTGTTTTTTTAAGTTACATGAGATCTGTTCAACAGACTGTATACATTACTATACATTACTATAGTAACATGTAGTTACATGTAGTTACATATGCGTATATATATGTAGTTTCGATTTGTATTTTATTGGTTCTGATGTGATTTATAATAAAAATATTTAAATTTGTAAATTTTTGTTGGGGTTTTATGAATTTATTTTGTATAAGTCAGTATTCGTGTGTGTATACGTACAATTGATCGACTAAAAATATGGGGAAAAAACGAACATAACTATGAATTACTATAGGTACTATAGTTACATGTAGTTATTTTCAGTACTGTAGACATATTGTTTTGAAAATTAAAAAAAAAAAAAAAAAATTATTTATAAAAAAAATTAAAAATTAAAAAAAAAAAAAATATATATATATATATATATATATATATATAACAAACAGATTTATAAAAAAAATAATAATTAAAAAAAAATAATAATAATAAATAAATCAGCAAAAATGATAAATGCAGGACCATAAATGCTGAATGCAGTTTGGCCGAAAATTGCACATAAGGGTAGTATAGTAATTTCGCTTCCCCAAGGGTATGTCAAAGGATGATTTGGACTTGGGTTTATCCCTAGTTTATTTGGTGGCTATGGGGTATGTAAAATAACCCATATATATATATATATATATAAAGGGGAAAAAAAAAGAGCTCTGGATTAACTCCAGTTTCACGCGCCTCGGCTATGTGAATCCAGTGTGCATCTTATTAATTTATACAAGGCAAAAATAATGCGCTCCGCCCCTAATGAATCTCCGGCCCAAACTCAGATCGCCGCCCCTTACCGCCCTCTCTATCCCGTCTCCACCCACATCACCACTGCCGTACAGCAGTAAAAGCGTACTTACGAAAATGCCCCGTAAATCTCTACTAAGACCCACTCTTGTCCTCGCTTTCCTCTCCCTGTTTGCCCTATACTCGTTCCTATTCTACAATCCTCCCAATTATAACACTAATACGTCAATTAATTTAGACAATCGCAGTTTTCGTTCTGTTGATGATAATAAGAAGGTGAAAATATACATGTATGATCTGCCTAGGAGATTTACATACGGGGTGATTGAGAGTTATGCGGAGGCGCGTGGAGGAGAAACCGTGGGGAGCGACGCGCTGCTCAAGTATCCTGGGAATAAGCACTCAGCCGAGTGGTATTTATTTTCCGATTTGAATCGTCCCGGTGACCTACGGATCGACTCGGCTCTGACTCGGGTCATGGACCCGGAATAAGCCGACCTCTTCTACGTGCCCTTTTTCTCTTCATTGAGTCTCGTCACCAATCCGATCCGACCAGCCACTGTGAACGTCTCTCCTAATAGGACAGTTTACAATGATGAGCAAACTCAGGTGCGTATTTGTAAAATTTTAATTGTTTACTTATCCAGAGTTATCATACCAAGGGTTGTTTTGAACCAAATATTGTTTTGCTAAAATCTATGATCTTTAGGTTATTAATATTTGATAATATGCCAAGTAACAATAATTCATTCATAGTTCTGTGCTAGAAATGCTCTTGAACTCTACTGGATCATTTATTGTTTTCACTTATTTTGACCGACATTCTCTATGCAAGAAGCAAAATATTTCATCCAAGTCTGTGGTTGATGTAGGAGGCTTTGATGGAGTGGTTGGAAGAACAAGTGTATTGGAAGAGAAATAATGGGTGGGATCATGTATTTATATGTCAGGATCCTAATGCTTTGTATAAGATCATTGATAGGGTGAAGAATGGGGTGCTATTAGTTTCAGATTTTGGGAGGTTGGGTGCCAATCAAGCATCCCTAGTGAAGGATGTGATTCTACCATATTCACACCGAATTAATTCATACAAAGGAGAGATTGGCCTGGAAAATCGCAAGTCCCTCTTGTTCTTTATGGGAAATCGATACCGAAAAGAGGTAATGTTCAGACTTTTCTTTTCCGTTGATGGTATGCATAGCATGGTAATATTTGGACTTTTTTTCTTTTTGCCGGACCCTGTTCTATGTCACCATTTGTGTATGCATTTACATGGAGCTGGTTTAATTGTGGTGTACAGGGCGGTAAGATTAGAGAGATGCTTTTCCAAGTTCTTGAGAATGAACAAGAAGTTATTATAAAACACGGGGCACAGTCTAGGGAGAGTCGCCGTATGGCATCACAAGGAATGCATACATCAAAGTTTTGTTTGCATCCAGCTGGCGACACTCCATCAGCTTGCCGGCTTTTTGACGCTATTGTAAGTTTATGTGTTCCAGTAATTGTGAGCGACTACATTGAGTTGCCTTTTGAAGATGTCATAGACTATAGAAAGATTGCCATTTTCCTCGACACCTACACTGCTGTTAAACCTGGAAGCTTGGTAAAATTGCTGAGAAAAGTGACTCTGGAGAGGATTTTGGAATTCCAAAAGGAATTGAAAAAGGTACATTTTCCGTACGTATAATTGACTTGAGTTTGAATTGAGTAGTATTATTATTATTATCCAAATTCGTTTTTTGATGCAATTTATTCAGGTAAAGAGGTACTTTGAGTACGAAGAAGCAAATGGGACAGTGAAAGAGATATGGCGCCAAGTTTCATTAAAGCTGCCTCTTATTAAACTTATGAGTAACCGCGACAAACGGATTGTGCTGCGGGACTTGACACAGCCAGATTGTTCATGTCTCTGTTCAAACCAGTCGGGAGTACACACAACACTATGATATTTGCCTTTAGAGTTTAATTTTCTTTTTGTAGAATAGAATATTTGTATTTGCCTCGAGATAATGTGCAACGTTTCTTTATACATATTCATTATCATTTATCAGCAATATCTGGGAATTGGCTAATACAGTAAGGATGCATGTAGATGGTTATGCTTGCTAGCCCAGCTGGTTTTGTGATGCAAGTATAATTGAGTTGTGCATAGAAAATCAGCTACAATATGCACTTGTAAGTTAGTTCCTAGTATAACTTCAGAAAAGCAATATCCAATCATCTGCTGGTTGGCTGATTTATCTCATAAAAAGATAGCCAGTTTTCAAGCTCCATTATCAATACTAATTATCTCACTCTCAAACTTGCCGTGCTAATCATCAAATTTGAAACCAGAGAAGAAGCAGTTACCATTTACCAACCAACAAAACTATATTCCGATTAAACTTTAATATCTTAATTAATATCTTAAAGGTTTAATGTGAATAGTTTTATATATAAGGACGATTCATGATGATACACTGTATTTTACCAATTATTTCTTCAAAAGGTGTGTACCCAAGAAATAACAACTGCCTAAAAAAACAAGTCTCAGAACAGAACGATGAACCTTGAGTTAACTTGTATCTTAACCTGGTGGCCATTTCATCTGTCTCCCTCCAAGTACATGTAAGTGAAGATGGTAAACAGATTGACCTACACACAGAGACAGAGACAGTAATTGTGGATTAGACTGGAATGTTTTTCTTGTTTCTGTAACTTGAGTTGTAAAAATAAGAGCGTGTAGAGAGAGAAACTTACACGCAGACGGGCCACTGTTAATAACAACACGAAAGCCCTCGGTGATGCCTTCTTTCTCTGCCACTATGTTAGCAGCATAAAGAAGATGACCCAATATCTCTTCATGTCTCTTTTCAGCCTACAAAGCATCACAGCACAATTAAAGCTGAACCACTAAACCTTGCTAAAATTTCTGTAAAGTCGTTTCATTCACATCAAGAATGTTATGCATTAGGGACTGCTATAGCCTAACATAAGAATACAAGGAAAAGACAGTACCTTGCCAAGCTCGGTCAGACCATCTCGTGACTTTGGAATGACAAGAACATGAACTGGAGCTTTTGGGCTTTTATCTCGAAAAGCAAGAACTGCCTCATCCTCATATACAATGTTTGCAGGGATCTCTTTTGATATAATCTTGTCAAATCTAGAACAAAAATGAAGTCGACAGTGAAAAAAAGAAGAAGAAACAATATAAGGCAACAATCTAAAACAGGAAAAAATATCTCAACTAAAGCTTTTCTTTATAGCTGAAATTTTGGTCGGACTTTTAGGAAAAGAAGATGAAAACATAATTAATCAGCAGGTGTAAGAGGTTCGAACATTGTTGGTGCCCCAGTATCAGCATTGACTGCGGCAGCTTTCGCAGCAGCTTCTTCATCGCTTGTAGCACTTGCAGACGACAAAACTCTGAAAGAAGCACAATTGTAAGATGCTAAGTACATGACGTGTGTATGTGAATGAGGCGTACAATCATTGTGTGAATGAGCCATACAGTCATGATGAATGTGTATGTAAATGAATTATGAATCATATATATATATATATAGTTTGGAATTCTGGAGAATCAATTGTAGGTGTAAACATTGTCTTGAAATACGTAATTTATCAAGAACATAGTAATAAGTATGATAACCATTCTACTCTAACCATTTCCTGCTCCTCAAATTTCATGACTTACATTAACATATGATACTCTTTTCTTTACATGAAATTTATTTCAGCATCAATTTATCGTCCCTTATCTTATATAAAAATAAAAATAAAAATAAAAAAATCCAAACTTTGCAGGTAATTAAATAATGAAAATGAATAGAACAGGAAGTAGAAAAATGGCGATATAGGTACCTGCGAAAGTGAGTAGGGCTATGAATAAGAGGGGAAAGTGCATTCCGGGGAGCTCCATTAGAAGATTCAAAAAAGTTCAAAGCTCGAACAGACAAGGGGCCACTATTTCAACAACGACGCCGTTTATCAGTTCAATTGAATTCCAGAAAATAAACTGAAAGAGGCATAGCAAAGATTGATAATTAGGAAGGAAAAAAGGAAAGCACCGTAACGGAGAGAGCAAATTCATGGCCGCCACACTCAGTCACAGATGGAAGAAATCTACAAGGTCCGACCCGGTTTTCTGTAGGGAAACTGAAAGGGGTATAAATTAATGTGTAAAATTCGTTTTGTACCCCTAAATTATACCCTATGTTACACTTACCCCTAAAGTATCATTTATAACACTTACGCCCTAAGGCACAATTTAATTTGTATTTTACATTTTAATTTATTAAAATTTCTTCTTTTATTAAAAAGTATAACTAAAATAATAATTAAATTATATAACTAAAAATATATGTTCAAAAATGCAATAATATAAAATTTAAAAATATTATCTTGCAGTTGGTACATATTCAATAAATAACATATAATTGTTGTTGGACCAATTTATCGAATACATGCATATCGATACATTTTTAGAAATTAATACATAACTAATAGTAATCTTAAGTATTTAAATATATTTTAGTTTACTAATTTCTCAAAGTATATTTTCATACATAATTATACAATATATATTACATTTTAATTATTTTTCAATAATTTAATTTTACATAATTTTCATCTTTTTATGATTCAATAATTGTTAGATTGTTATGTTTATTATATTTTAAATTTTAAAATATAAAATAATTGGTATTGAGGGGGTAAGTGTTACAAATAATACTTTAAGGGGTATGTGTTTCATTTGCAATAATTTAGGGGTGCAAAGTGTATTTAACCAATAATTACTTTCTCTCGAGTTCTTTCTCTGTTTACTATTTTTCAGTCGTCTTGTTTGTCTCCGTCGGTCATCGTCCCGGCAATAGGTGAGCTTTTCCGGCGGAAAAAAAGAAGTAGGGTTCGGAAAAGGGTCCTGATCGAAGGTGCAAATTTTGCTCCATCAATGATGATGATGGTGATGACAATGACGAGTGACTAGACAATATTACATTATTGTTAAGTCTTAGAACAGAACTTAGTCACTGGGAAGGATTAGTTTGGGATAATCTAATTAGGAATAATTTGAGTTGTGGGATAATAATTTTGTTGGAAAAATGAAAATGAACAAAGTAATCTTAAATAAAGGTAAGAATTTTATCCCTTAGCTTGGGTGGTGAATTGAGGCGAGAATATAATAACGAATAAAGGAGATCGATCTCTTTTTCCTCCTTTTCCCCACTAATTCAGACTCTTGATATATCAGGAAACAACATTCAGAATTAATTTTCCTGCGTTTAACTGGTTGGTAGTGGTAGTGACGATCATTCTTTTTCTTGTCATCACTGTTAAGTGTATATTTATACACTTAATTGTACCTTTTTATTTGAGCTTTTGGTGTGTTTTAAAGATAATTGGTGCTTAAAAAGTTGATTTATTGTATTTTAGGTATAAATTGAAGAATTGGAAAAGTATGGGGTCAAAACTGCAATTTTGGAGAAAATATAGGCCAAAAGTGAAAAAATCAAAATTCTGAAGATTTAAAGCTCGGACCCCGTCCCAGTTTTAGTGCAAATCGTGGGACCCCCGTCCGAGACTCCGAAGTTGCGCAGAAAAGGGATTTTAATTGCACAAGGAATCTGCCTTCTTCCCCAAGTTCTTCACCCTATATAAGACCAAGTCAGACACACAATTAGGGATCTTTTTATCATCTATCTTTTATCTTTCATCTTTCTACACGCGATCAAGAAGCACAAGAACGAAGACGAAGACTTGACGAATCTTCATCATAGTTCTCTTTTATTTTTATTCATAACTTTTATGGTTTTTCATATTTTTATTATGCTTTTCGTAGAGAACATTTGTAGCTAAGTTTTTGTTCTAGGATTTTATTGGAACCCTATGTGGTAATTCGAACCTATTTTTCTACTTTTATGCAAGTTTAATTCTTCGATTATTTCTTCTATTTTGATCTTATTTAGCGCATGAACGTAGCTAATTTATGTTGCTATTTGTTATTGTTAGAATTGATTGACATATCGTTTTAATAATTAGAACAGGGATAGAAGAGCCTTCGAGTAGTTTTTCACCGGATGAGTGTGTTAATTGCATGTATTATCGTAGACATACAGATAATACCTTAGGCAGCCGTTTTCGAGACTTGTTATTTAATGCTTTATTCATACTAGGTTTGCATAGACATATAGTGAATCTTTTATGAATAATAGACTTATAATACAGCGACAGCTGGTTATGAGTAATTTCGTGTCTTGGGTTAATAATCGGGAATCATAACTTGCATGATAGGAGATTAATTGGGTGAAGAATTATCACATAGGGGGAAGATAAAATCCTAGATCCGTTTTATATTGATATTTTCTCTTGTTTAATTGCTTTCTTAATTAGTTTAATTTATTTAGTTAATTAATTTGACAAACTTGCGTAGGCTGGATAAAAATCGTAATTGTTAAAATTTGGTACTTAGGATTAAATAATTTGCGTATTCCCTGTGGGATCGACATCCGACTCTCACGAGTCTACTTTACTACTTGTTTGCGATACGTGCACTTGCGTGTGGGTATTTAGCACCCAACAAGTTTTTGGCGCCGTTGCCGGGGACTACGGCTAAATTATTTATTTATCCTAATATTAAATTTGAGCAATTTTTCTTACTTCAGCCATTTTATTTATTTTATTTAATTATTTTATTTTTATTTTTTAGGTACTTTTTATGCGAAGAGGACACGATACGAGCTTGTTACCTCTCGATCCCGAAATTGAGCGAACGTTTAGGCAAGCCAGGAGAAATCAAAGGTTAGCTCAAAACGCTCCCGCAACAATGGAATAAGAGATTAACCGTGGGGAAGGTGACCAAAGGCGCCCCCCGAATGCGGCAGGAGAAATCGTCAACGAGCAAAACCAACGCCAGCTAATTAATCCACCACCTCGTCAACGAGCCTTGCATGAGTACACCGTTCCGACACTCAATGGGTTTCAATCAAGCATCCAGCAGCCCCCCATTGAAGCCAACAATTTCGAAATTCGAGCGGGACTCCTCACTATGCTCCAAAACAATGGATTATTCAGCAGATTGGCTCACGAAGATCCACATCTCCACTTGGTCAACTTTCTCCAGACGTGTGATTCGCACAAGATGAACGGAGTAACGCCCGAAGCACTGCAACTCCGCCTGTTCAAGCACTCCTTACAAGGCGCAGCCCGAGAATGGTTACAAACTCGCGCACCGCATTCCATCTCGTCTTGGGCCCAGCTAGCACAACTTTTCATGAACACATATAACTCCCCAACAAAAACTGAGAGAATCCGGAGAGAAATTCAAAATTTCATACAAGAAGCCGGTGAAGCATTATTTGAGACGTGGGAGTGGTTCAAACAGTTAGTAAGGAGGTGCCCGAATCACGGACTTCAAGAGTGGCGCCAGCTGCAAATATTTTACGATGGGCTACAAGACAACTCGAGAACCGTTCTCGACTCGGCAGCTGGAAGAATGTTCATGAGTTTGACCTACGACGAAGCATACGAACTCTTAGAGCGAATCGCTCGAAACAAATACATGCGGGCATCGGACCGGTCGAATAGCGGAGTAGTCAAGACGGGAGGAATTTTGGAGTTAGGCGGGGTCACTGCAATCACGGCCCAATTGGAGAAGCTATCGAAGCAAGTAGCGGCGTTGCAGACCCAACAAGTCCACGCAGTCCAAGTTCCCGACCAGCGCGTAGAAGAAACGGAGTCTCTGAATTATGTGCATGACACCAACCGACAACCGAGGAACCCGTACTCCAACACGTATAATCCGGGATGGAAGGATCACCCTAACTTTGGGTGGGGAGGAAATCAACAAGGACAAAGGCAAGCACCACCTCAAGGTCAACCGCCTAATTATTCACGACCAGCTCCCGGATTCCAAAATCCGCCTCAAGGTGGAGATCTCGCAAATATCTTGGCGCAATTTATGACAACCACCCAAGCCTCCATCCGAAATTTGGAAACACAAATGGGTCAACTTGCAACCCAGCTAACCACGAGACCATCGGGAGCACTGCCGTCGAATACGGAAGATCCTCGGAAGAACAACGTCGAGCAGTGCAACGCTATGAGTTTAAGGAATGGGAGACAATTGGAGGAAGCCCCATGAAAAGAGAAGCAAAACACGGTGATCGAGAAGCCGAGCGTGATTGGGGAAAAAGAAGCAACTCACAAAGAACCACTATCATCCCCAGTGAAATCACGAGCCTCTCCAATTCCCTATCCTCAGAAGCTTATAAAGAAGAAGCTCGATGCCGATTATCAAAGATTTTTGGACAAGCTGAAGGAAATCCACATAAATATCCCGTTTATTGAAGCCCTTCAAAAGATGCCAAAGTGGGTGAAGTTCCTCAAGGATCTCGTGACAAAAAGGAAGAAATTGCAAGGGAATGAGATGATCCAACTCACGGAGCAATGCAGTGAAATTCTTACACGGCCTCTTCCGCAAAAGCTCGGCGATCCAGGTAAGTTCACTATCCCTTGTACTATAGGAGGTAAAAATTTTAGATCGCTTATTGATTTAGGTGCGAGCATTAATCTTATGCATTATTCCACTTATAAAAATCTTGGGTTAGGTGAGATTGAACCTACGGCTATAACTCTTCAATTAGCCGATAGGTCTTTGGTTTACCCAAAAGGTATTTTAGAGAATGTGCTAGTAAAGGTGAACAAATTTATTTTCCCTGTGGATTTCGTTATACTTGATATAGATGAAGATAGGGAGATACCTCTTATTCTAGGAAGGCCGTTTTTAGCCACGTCGAAAACTCTAATTGATTGCGCTAGTGGTGATCTTACAATGACGGTGCACGATCAAACGATCAAATTTAACGTTTTTAGCGCTAATAAAATCCATGTGATAATAATGATTGCTATGCTATTGATCTTGTGGATTTTACAAATCATGACGATTTTGACGTTTTGATCTTAGACCATGGGAAAGGATCTTTGAGTGCAGGAGATGGTAGCGGAAAAGATAGTCGGACGGAGCAAGTTTATTGTGCGAGCTCAATTTCAACTCCGCCGAGAGACAGTCAAAAGAGTTGGGGTGATAACAATGATGAACGTGCAAGGTGGATGTGGCCACCTAAAGAACCAAACGAGCATTATTGGGGAGAGGAATTCAATTGCCA